GACGGTTCTTGCATCCAAGACGATGAAAATCTCTGCGCTCCCCCACGTGCTGGTGCTGCACCTCATGCGATTCTTCTTCAGCCACTCCACCACTGACAGCGTCAAAATCCACAAGCCTGTCTCCTTCCCCCTCTCCCTCACTCTCTCGCGCGATCTTCTCTTTTCCTCCTCTCCCTTCGCCAAGGTATGGCTACTCACCTTATTCACTTTTTTCACCTCATACTCCCTTCGCTTATTCACCTCAAACTCCCTTCACTTATTCACCCGCTTCCTTCCATTGTCAAGATCAACAAGCCTATCTCCTTTCCTCTCTCCCTCACTCTCTCACGCAACCTCCTCTCCCTTTGCCGAGTTATGGACTCTCACCTTCTCCACCCTTCACCTGGATTAGAATTTTATCAGTCCAGATCTCCCACATGCTCTGTTTCTTGCTCCCTTGGTTTTCCAATGTGTCTGAAGCATTCCTCGTCCCTTTACCTTCTTTCCCATACGTCACCAGGATTTGCAATACTCCATCTTTGCCACAGCAGTACACCAAAGGAGAGACCCTTCCTCCGGTCGTGAGTCAACCCAAAACTTCTTTACCTCCTTTTCCTTCCCTCGTACTACCTAAAGCGTCGATACTCCCTGTTTGCAACAGTAGTGCACCAGGGGAGAGATCCCTCCTCCGGCCATTACACTGCCGCTGTTCGCCAGTGGCTTATGATTGTCGATGTGCCTAAAGCGTGTTCCTTCCTCTCCCTCTACCTTCTTTCCCTTGCATCACCAGGAACGGCGATACTCCCTTTTTGCAACAGTAGTGCACCAGGGCAGAGACCCTTCCTCGGGCCATTACCCTGCCGCTGTTCACCAGCCGGATGGATCCTGACTTAGATTTGACGACGCGCGAGTTTTGTCTGTTTCTGCCAAGCGGGTGCTATAGGAGAAGGCGTATCTGCTGCTGTACCAGAGGGAAGGTGGAAAGCAGTGAGTGAAGCTCATTTGTAGAAGGAACATCACATGTGGAGATCTTGTGACCATTGGGTATATCAAGGCTGTTTTACGAAAGTTTGAACGCCTATTCATTCTTTGGGAAGCTTGAAACATTAAGTTTTAGTAGTCATATAGTGCATAAGCATTTAAATGTTGCAGGCAAATCCAATGAGTAATTTTCAGACAAGTGCCGCACCTTCACTATAGTTGCAATCAGAGCATCCCCGGCACCTTCCATTCCTTCCAAACTGCTGCGATCAAAAGATGAACGCTGCCAGGATCTCCTCGGGAAGGTTCGCACGCAGATAGGTAGACTAGGTGGGCCCTTGACCTCAATAGCAGAGTGAATGTAAAGTGCTTGAGATGATAAAAACATGCAAATACAGCGATATAAATAGGAGTACAGGGGAATATGAATCGACCTAGCTAGCCATGTACTCTAAAGGGTACATTCCCTTATTCAAATTCATTCCCAACCGTGTGGCGCGCACAGTTGCGAAACTGTTCCCGCCCAATTCCTCCTGACTGCAGCTGTCTGATGCCGTCTGCTCCGACGGTCCAGATCCACCCTAACCGTCTGACGCTTCGAGTCGATTCCGACTCGTCGCATTCGTTCTCGTTACTGCCTGTTTCCTTAGCCGCGGTGAGGAGTGCACTTGTGATGTTCAGGCATTACTGTTCGTAACACAATCCACCCCGTTCCAATCCCGCCAGATGGGTATGGGGTTCAAATCCTAGCGAGGACCATGTGGATGCCGACGCACAACGTTTTCATATCTTCTTTGAAGAACTGGCCAATATAATCTGAATGAAACTCTAGAAATGGGTCAACAAAAGATCCTCCTCGCAATTGGAAATTATGACCTGTTATGGACCAGAGTATATGTTGTAGCGAACTTGAGCACATAATCTGTGGTACGTAATTGTTACGGGTGCAATGAATCGAAGTAGCGAGGATTGCACTAAGGTGTCAAACGAGTACAGAATGTGAGCGAATGCATGAGCAAACATTTATACGCGAAACATGCAAACGGTAACGCGGTGCGTGCGAGCTAGCTAGTGCTACGCTGGAAGCGAGGCTCGGGTTAGTTCCGAAGCGTAGGCTGACACGGCCAGGCCAACGGTGCAAGGTTTGGTGAAACAGAGCGCGCGAAGTCGACGAAGCACCGTTAGCAGTAACGGGCGAACAACGGTTGCTGCTGTACGCGATGTTGCAGGGCGCACTAAGGAATATTGAGAACTTCCTTACACTACCCCCCCCCCTCAAGAAGCCCCCTCCGCTACGCGAGTGCGTGTATATCGCGGAAACCCCGGCTCTTCAGGTACACTTGCAGGGCAGGGTGGTTTTCGATGTTGGCCAGGGGCACTTAGCTATCTTCAGTTGGCGTGCGATCCTTCCAGCGAACGAGGAATTCAATCCTCCTGATTCCCGTGGGGTGTCGAATCCGATGGCTCAGGATTTTTTGGGTTGAATGATCGGCTCCGATGCAGGGCGAGTCATGGATGGCAAGCAGTGGGGAGGCAGTTGGCTTGTGGTTGGGATGTATAGGCGAAGCAGACTAACGTGGAACGAAGGGCTGATGTACCAGTCTGTCGGCAATAGTAAGTGAGCTGTCACTTGGGTAATCATGTGGCTGATTTGGAATGGTCCACAGTAGCGGGGTCGTAATTTTGGTATGACGGGCAGTCTTAAGTTCTGCGTATCGAGCAGTACGTAATCCCCTGACTGGTACATGACTGGGCGGCGGTGGCGGTCAGCGTTGCGTTTAGCGATGACGTTGGCTTTCTTAATTGCTTCAGCGCCTCTGGTGCGGGCAGCTTACAGAATTTCGGCGAATTGCTGTGCACGTGGTGTTGGGCTGTCCGGACTCGGCGTCTTGGGCACTGTTGGGTTTTGCCCGTAGTTCAGGTAGAAAGGGGACTGCTGTGTTGTCGCTGACGTGGCGTTGTACGCGAACTCGATCGGCGGCAGCTGCTGCTCTTAAGTGGTCGGGTCGTCGCACGTGGCACGAATCAACTGCTCCATCGTCTGATTCGTCCGCTCCGTTTGACTGTCGGTCTCGGGGTGGTACGACGAGCTGAACGGTAGCCTGGTCCCGAACTGCTCCCAGAGGTTCTTCCAGAAATTGCTGGTGAACTTCGTGTCGCGGTCGCTGATTATCCGGCTGGTATCTCGTGCATTCGAACGACGGCTGCAATGAACAGGCGAGCGGTTTCTTCGGCTGAGATCGATTTCTTGCACGCAGCGAAGTGTGCCATCTTCGTCAACCTGTCAACGACGACCATAACTGTGTCGTTACCCCGAGGGTTCGAAGGTAACCCTGTGACGAAATCCAGGGTAACTTGCTGCCAGGCGCGCTCAGGCGGTGGAATCGGCTGCAACTGACCTGTCAAATGATATATCTGCTACAATTTGTTTAGGCTGTAGTGGGGTAGTTATTATGGGGTACAGTAAGTTTAGGGTTTCCTACTTGTACCGAACTCTTTCCTAGTTCAATCACTCTTGTTCAATCACTCTTTCCTAGCTAGTGATACGCTGGAAGCGAGGCTCGGGCTAGTCCCGAAGTGTAGGCCGACACGGCCAGGCCAGTAGTGCGAGGTTTGGTGAAACAGTGCGCGCGAAGTCGGCGAAGCCCCGTTAGCAGTAACGGGCGAACAACGGCTGCTGCTGTACGCGATATTGCAGGGCACGCATATCGATAAACTTCCTTACAGTAATCAAGGGTCGTCGAAATGGGGAGAAGATCATACAGGGGCCGAACAGTGCCAGGGAGGTGTTCAAACAAGGGCCAAGAGGCCCGGAACTAACCAAACCACTGCTTTAAAAGTTATTTGCAGAGGGGTTTCATTTATTGAACGTATGTTTGTTAATAGTTTGTGACAAAGTTAGAAGAAAGAAAGAGGGATGAACTAGCAGAAATGGGGATACAAATAGCAAACCCTAGAAGGGTTGTACTCGCTATAGAGCACCCCACTACAGGCTAGAACATAAGAATAATATTCTGACAGTTTGCATTTTCGTTCGCGCGTCATTTTACATGGAAATGTTTACTGATTCATCACCTTCCACCCAATAGCCGCGTTTAGCAGCCAAAAAAACTAAAACTCCAAGGCGAACATGGATGCATTTTCGGGATGGATTAACCCTAAAAACGGGAACCTTCGTTGTGTTTAGGGTTGATACCTCCCTAGTCGCATCCATTTCGGAATGGGTAATATTTTTTTTTCTGCGCATTTCCAATCAGGGAGTGATATTTATCACCCATAATGAATTTGTTTTTGGACTCACAAATTAACACAGCAATATTTACTTCTAGAAGAACGCGATGTACGCGTGGTAGTAGACGGCGGTCGTAACCATTTTTTCAATAAGCTGGACACAAAGTTTGGTGCTGGTAGCTTTTATCTTTTAGTCCCGGTTCGGCTTGTTCACCTAGCCTCTTGGGCAGCTCGGGGTCGAAAATCCTACGATCTAGATTTTCTGGCCCTACTTTGGTCATCCCTCTGGCACTCTTCGACCCCAGTTTGATAATTTCCCGTCGAAATGAGTGCAGTCAATTATCACACCGCACCTCGGCTTCGCGCCTATCGCGCCGTTGCACACGGAGGAAAATCTAGCTGCTGGCAAGTTTTCTGCCACAATTATTTTTCGCGAACCTCTGTACGATTCCGTATCCCGCATTCACGAAGACATGAGCAGAGTCCGTAATTCGCGAGACGCTGCTGGTTGTCGCTCGCCACTTCGTGCACCCAAACCGCAATCGCAACAATGTGGTTGTTAAACTCTTTGCAGCCAGTTGCTCGAAACTCGTGCGACTCGGACTACAGAATTTCGAACGCCAATCTGCACAAGTCATATGCCCGCGACTGACGGTGGCATGGCATCCCAGCTCCCAGCTCAAGTGAAGTATAGAAGCTACCACTGCCGCTCATGTCATCACCAGTTCCAAATATCTTAATCACCTAAACCCTCTTATTTTCGAAGCTGCTTAATAGCACCAGCTCGTCTTACACACACAGAAGCAAAAATGACTTTCTTCGGCTACACACCCGCTAAGGCCACTTTCCTCATCGTGGTCATCGCCTCTGCAGTGATCCTTTCCGCCCCTGCGCGCGTCACTGCCGCCGGGAGTCCCGCCAACGCGACTGCGCCTGCCAACGCGACTGCGCCTGCTAACGCGACTGCTTATGCTAAGGGGGTTGCTGCTGGCGCGATTGGGACTGCAAAAGCAACCACGCCTGGAGATGCTAACAGCACCACCGTGGCGGCGACAGCGAGGCAGAGCAAGAGCTCGGGGCTAGGAAAGAACTCCACATGCGCCTATTACGGCAACTACTCCGCCAACCCCTACTTTGGCAAGGGGCTCACCGTGAAGCTTCCCCCCGCTATCTTCGGCAAGCGCTGCGGCGCGTGCTACAAGGTAGAGTGCCATGGCGACAAGAAGCGCTGCCGCAGCGGCAAGGCGACCGTGACGGTCCGCGTCATCGGCGCGACGACCACGGAGAAGCAGATCTCGCTGTCCCCCGTCTCATGGTCCAAGATCGTGCAGGGAACCGATGCCGCCCCCGTTAATATCACATACAAGCGCACCAACTGCCATTCGACCCTCGGATCCGCTGTGCGCGTGCGCCGCAACTCGACGGCGGAGAATTTCAACATTCAGATGGTGGGTCTTGCCGGCCCCGGCACGCTCAAGGCGGTCGAGATCAGCGCGGACGGCAAGAGGTGGGCGAAGCTGACGCGCGACGGCAGCAAGGCGATCTGGGGAATCAAGGGCAAGGAGGCGAAGGAAGTTGTGGGCGCGAAGAAGGCGATGAGCGTTCGCCTCACTGCGGGACACACTCTCGAGAAAATTACCCTCGCGAATGTCATTCCCGCCGACTGGAAGCCGCAGACGCTCTACTCGTCCAAGACCAACTTCAAAAAGCTCATGGCTGAGGCGAAGTAGGTAGGCATGTTGAGAAGAATAATTGAGGACCCTAAATTGAGGATTAAGTAGGCAGGTATTAGTCAGAGAGAACTGGGTTAGGGGGAAGGGGATAGGGTTATGGGATTGGGATTTGAGGGAGGGGAGTGCGATGGTGCAAAAGGACACTTGTAAGCATATGATAGTGTGTCAAAACTTGAAGTGCATTTTCAGAACTGTCTCATTGAGCAACATTAGCACCCAGGCAAATTGAAGTACCAGTGCGGTACCATGACATACAAACACACAAAGCCTGAGCATGAAGGCTCCGCAGAATTGAACGCTAGAGCGTGAAGGGCTGTGAGATTTATTGTAAGTGTACCATTAGAGTTGTTCGACAAGGGCACCTTTGATAAAGTGTTGTGGTGTTATCAGCCCGATTTCATTTTAGTTTCGCAACTCGTCGCAGCACTCTCCCAGCTGCTTCCCTCCTCTCCCTACCTCTAACTTGTTCATCTGGTTCAGCTCGTTATTGACCTGCTGCCAATCCTGCTCCTTCTCCTCTCTGCTATATGGCTAATACCGTACCAAGTCCGGGACTTCTTATATGGCCCTCCATCATTATCCCCATACTCCTCATCTCCCACCACCTCTCCCAGCCACCCCCCTCTTCCTCTCGAGAACCCTGTTGATCTGGTTCCGCTCATTGCTCAGCCTGGTAGAGAGACGAGACGAAACGACTCCTGAGGCTCCTCATACGTGATCTGGTTGAACTGATTCCTCAGCCTCTGCTGCCAATCCTTCACCTCCTCCTCTCTGCTACACAGCTAATATCGAGACTTCTTATAAGGCCCACCATCCTCATCCCCATACTCCTCCTCTTCCACCACCTCTCCCACAGCCTCCCTTTTCTTCCTCTCGATAATCTTGTTGAGCTGATTCAACTCATTGTTCAGCTTCTGCTGCCGATCCTCCTTATCCTGCTCTTTACTACGGTGCATGGCTAATATCGGGACTTCTTATAAGGCCCACCATCCTCATCCCCATACTCTTCCTCCTCTTCCACCACCTCCCCCGCCGCCTCCCTTTTTTTCCTCTCAATAATCTTGTTGATCTGATTCAGCTCATTGTTCAGCTTCTGCTGCCGATCCTTCTCCTTCTTCCGCCCCTTCCTCCCCTCGCCCTCCCGCCCCTGCTGCCCTGCCCCTCTGCCACCCGCCTTGCCCTTTTCTGCTGGCTCTCTGTCCCGCTCCTTGTCCTTAGAAGCACCAGCACCATCCTCATCCTCATCATCATCATCATCGTCCCCATGAAACATGTCCTGTACCTGAGCCAGCTGGTGAATAAATAGAAAAATTGGAGAGTGGGGTGTGGGGGGGGGAGATATCTCGCTTCAAGACAGTGACATGTCTTGCTTCTTCCACCTCTCTTCGCTTAGTTTCTGTTTGCCTCTCTCCTGAAAACAAGAGCCAAAGCAGGACCGGCTCCAATACACTAACCTGCCTCGCTTCCTCCACTTTCCGAACAAGCTGAATTTATCTCTTCTGTTGCAGGTCAATTTTGAGGAATTTCAAAACCAGCATTCAGAATTCTCAAAACCGACCTGCAACAAAAAGTGTGAAAGAATCCAATACACTGACCTGCCTCGCTTCCTCCTCCCACTAGCATGCTAATTGATTCTCTCTTGAATCTGCTCTCTAAGGCTCCTGACTCACGCCCCTCCCACCACTCACACAACTCAGAACAGGACTACCTACAAGATAAAGACTTGACTAGATGCTTCCATTTTCCCACCCTTCATATAACTGTTGACTTATGACTCAGCAGGTCAGTGCCTCCAATGCACTGACCTGCCGAGCCTCTTCCACTTTCTGTGCCAGCTCATCACCCTTCTCCTCATCGTTCTCCACCACACCTGCCTTTTCTTCCACCTTCCACCTTCCGAGCCAGGTCATCACAATACTCAGAATACTGACCTGTCTTGCTTCTTCCACTTTCCGAGCGAATTCATCCCCGTCCTCCTCATCACTCTCCACCACCTCTCAGAATCCAAACAAAGAGTCCAAACAAGAGTTCCCTCAAGACACTCACTTGCCTAGCCTCCACTCTCCGAGCCAGGTCATCACCCTACTCAGAATACTGACCTGCCTTGCTTCTTCCACCTTCCGTGCAAGCTCATCACCCTCCTCCTCATCACTCTCCACAACCTCCCCTGCAAAGTTCCCCCCATCCCCCCGTTGATAACACTCATCATAACCCCCTCCCCCCAACCCCCCAAGCGCGTTTGGATCCTTCCCCTTCTCCCTCCCCTCCCCCGCCCTCCCCCTCCCCTCCCTCCTCCTCGCCTCCTCTTCCTCCGGAGTGAATCTCTTAAACACCGACGCCAAACCCCGGCCTTTCTCCTCTTCTGTTAGGTAAGTGCCGGTAGCACCAGGTTCAGTAGGGCCGAGAGCACGAGGAGAAGGAAATGGGGGGGCTGCAGCGGAAGCAGGAGGAGGGGGAGGAGGAAGATGTGAAGGTGGGTATACTCCAGGGGGAAGAGGGGGAGGAGGTGGGTAGCCCCCCTCTCCTCCTCCATACGGGTAATGCTGACCGGGAGGAGGAGGAGGAGGAGGGGCTAGGCCAGGATAGTGTGGGGCAGAATGGGGGGGAAGGGGAGGAGGAGGGGCAGGGGGGTACTGTTGGTGGTAGGGATAGGCGGATGGGAGTGGGGCTGGAGGGGGAATAGAGGGGGGCCAGGGGGTGAGGGCAGTGGGGGCGCCGGGAGGAGGAGGAAGAGGAGGAGGCAGTGGGTAGTCTTCCCAGGAGCCGTCTGCTGGCGGGTAGGCTGGGCCGACCTGGTTCAATGGAGGGCGGGAGAGAGAAGGGAGACTGAGTGTGTAAGTGGGCAACAGTGGAGGGGGTGGGTGGTCTTCCCATGAGCCGTCTGCTGGTGGATAGGCTGGGCCGACCTGATTCAAGGGAGGGCGAGGGAGGGAAGAGAGACGGAAGTAAAGAGAGGGGCGGCTGAGAGTGTGAACGGGTAACACCACAAAAGGGAGGGGGTGGGTAGTCTTCCCATGAGCCGCCTGCTGGTGGATAGGCTGGACCGACCTGGAATATGGGTGAGAAAACGGGGGAGGGGGGACAGAAGGAGAGAGCATGGGCAGGGAGCATGGGAGGCAACAGCACGGGAAGGAGCAAGTGAGCGGAGGTGGGGAGAAAAGGAAGAGCGGAAGAGGAGGAAGCGGAGGGGAGTCTTCGCATGAGCCGTCTGCTGGTGGGTAGGGTAGGCTGGGCCGACCTGGAATATGGTGGGCAAGGGGAGGAGGGAAGACGGACGGAAGGAGCGGGGCAGTAAGCGTGGGAGGCAAAGGCACTGGAAGGAGGAAGTGCGTGGAGGAGAGGAGGAGGGGAGGACGGGAGGAGGGGAGGAGAGGAGAGGGGAGGAAAGGAGGGGGGGAGGAGGGGAGGAGAGGAGTGGGGGAAGGAGGGGAGGAGGGGAGGATGCGATCGTATGGGAGGAGAGAGAAAATGAAGGTCTCCAGAGGGGGCAGAATGGAGAGGAAACGGAAAAAAATGTCTTCACATGTCATGTGGGAGAGGCGGGGGAGGAGGAGGCGGCATGGCATCGCCATCATCGTCCATCTCCATATCTGCATCATCAGCCGCAGCAGGCGGGAGCAGAGGAGGAGCAGAGGAGGCAGAGAAGGACGGGAAAAATGTTGAGAGAAAACGGAACAGAGGGTCTTACCATGTCATGTGGAAGTGGAGGAGGAGGAGGGGGAGGCATAGCACCATCCTCGTCGTCCATTTCCATATCCGCATCATCAGCAGCAGCAGGCGGGAGCAGCGGAGGAGGTGGGGGCAAAGGAGCAGCACCAGCGGTTGTAGCAGCGGTTGTAGCAGCGGCAGCAGCAGCGGCAGCAGCATGGGCTACCGCATCTGCAATACCACTCGGCACGTCAAAGTAAGCAGGGCGAGAAGCACTTGCAGCAGCACCAGCCGAGCCAGATACTCCGGTTGCCCCTACACCCCCTGCTGATCCTGCAGCAGCACCTGTGTCAGCAGCACCAGGTGCACTAGGCTTAGCAGTCACTGTGTAATCTTTCCCCACATCTGCAAAAATATCATCATCATCCTCCTCTTCTTCCTTTTTCTTGCTCACGGCTGCTTCTGTGGCGGCAGCTTTTGCGGCTGCGGCTGCTGCTGCTGCTGCTGCTGCTGCTGCTGCTGCTGCTGCCTCCTTTCTGTTCTTCCTGCCGCCAGTCCCATTTGCTATGCCGCCATTCCCACCAGCAGCGCCACCATTTTCAGCTGCAGCTTCGGGTCGTGCGGCAGGTTGTGAGGATGGGAGGTCGGCTGACGGCTGAGAGGGCTTGGGAGGAAGAATACCGGGAACCAGGACTGGAGTGGGAGGGAGAGAGGGAGATGGGATGTAGAGAAAGAATAGAGCAACAGTTTGGAATGTCAAATCGAACTGACTGACAGGGAGACCCCCAGTAAGAAGCAAAACGGCCACCCTGCTCAAAAACCTAACTTCGAAACCGACCGACCTCCTACAATAACGTTTTTGATAAATCTTTTAGGCATGAGGATGTGGCGTGCCCGGCTCGATAGCGAGCAACTGAGAATTTGAGCAACACAGCGGTGACTTTTGAGGCACCTCAAAAGTCGATAGCGAGCAACTGAGAATTTGAGCAACACAGAGAACGTGCAGTTGTAACGAGGTGACTTCTGAGTCGACTCAAAAGAGGTGACTTTTTTACTTTTGAGTCGACTCAAAAGAGGTGACTTTTTTACTTTTGAGTCGACTCAAAAGAGGTGACTTTTTTACTTTTGAGTCGACTCAAAAGAGGTGACTTTTTTACTTTTGAGTCGACTCAAAAGAGGTGACTTTTTTACTTTTGAGTCGACTCAAAAGAGGTGACTTTTTTACTTTTGAGTCGACTCAAAAGAGGTGACTTTTTTACTTTTGAGTCGACGCAAAAGAGGTGACTTTTTTTACTTTTGAGTCGACTCAAAAGAGGTGACTTTTTTACTTTTGAGTCGACGCAAAAGAGGTGACTTTTTTACTTTTGAGTCGACTCAAAAGAGGTGACTTTTTTACTTTTGAGTCGACTCAAAAGAGGTGACTTTTTTACTTTTGAGTCGACTCAAAAGAGGTGACTTTTTTACTTTTGAGTCGACTCAAAAGAGGTGACTTTTTTACTTTTGAGTCGACTCAAAAGAGGTGACTTTTTAACTTTTGAGTCGACTCAAAAGAGGTGACTTTTTTACTTCTGAGTCGACTCAAAAGAGGTGACTTTTTACTTCTGAGTCGACTCAAAAGAGGTGACTTTTTTACTTCTGAGTCGACTCAAAAGAGGTGATTTTTTTACTTCTGAGTCGACTCAAAAGAGGTGACTTTATTACTTTTGAGTCGACTCAAAAGAGGTGACTTTTTTACTTTTGAGTCGACTCAAAAGAGGTGACTTTATTACTTTTGAGTCGACTCAAAAGAGGTGACTTTTAACTTTTGAGTCACTCAAAAGAGGTGACTTTTTAACTTTTGAGTCGACTCAAAAGAGGTGACTTTTTTACTTTTGAGTCGACTCAAAAGAGGTGACTTTTTTACTTTTGAGTCGACTCAAAAGAGGTGACTTTTTTACTTTTGAGTCGACTCAAAAGAGGTGACTTTTTTACTTTTGAGTCGACTCAAAAGAGGTGACTTTTTTACTTTTAAGTCGACGCAAAAGAGGTGACTTTTTTTACTTTTGAGTCGACTCAAAAGAGGTGACTTTTTTACTTTTGAGTCGACTCAAAAGAGGTGACTTTTTTACTTTTGAGTCGACTCAAAAGAGGTGACTTTTTTACTTTTGAGTCGACTCAAAAGAGGTGACTTTTTTACTTTTGAGTCGACTCAAAAGAGGTGACTTTTTTACTTTTGAGTCGACTCAAAAGAGGTGACTTTTTTACTTTTGAGTCGACTCAAAAGAGGTGACTTTTTTACTTTTGAGTCGACTCAAAAGAGGTGACTTTTTTACTTTTGAGTCGACTCAAAAGAGGTGACTTTTTTACTTTTGAGTCGACTCAAAAGAGGTGACTTTTTTACTTTTGAGTCGACTCAAAAGAGGTGACTTTTTAACTTTTGAGTCGACTCAAAAGAGGTGACTTTTTTACTTCTGAGTCGACTCAAAAGAGGTGACTTTTTTACTTCTGAGTCGACTCAAAAGAGGTGACTTTTTTACTTTTGAGTCGACTCAAAAGAGGTGACTTTTTTACTTTTGAGTCGACTCAAAAGAGGTGACTTTTTTACTTTTGAGTCGACTCAAAAGAGGTGACTTTTTTACTTTTGAGTCGACTCAAAAGAGGTGACTTTTTTACTTTTGAGTCGACTCAAAAGAGGTGACTTTTTTTACTTTTGAGTCGACTCAAAAGAGGTGACTTTTTTACTTTTGAGTCGACTCAAAAGAGGTGACTTTTTTACTTTTGAGTCGACTCAAAAGAGGTGACTTTTTTACTTTTGAGTCGGCTCAAAAGAGGTGACTTTTTTACTTTTGAGTCGGCTCAAAAGAGGTGACTTTTTTACTTTTGAGTCGACTCAAAAGAGGTGACTTTTTTACTTTTGAGTCGACTCAAAAGAGGTGACTTTTTTACTTTTGAGTCGACTCAAAAGAGGTGACTTTTTTACTTTTGAGTCGACTCAAAAGAGGTGACTGTTTTACTTTTGAGTCGGCTCAAAAGAGGTGACTGTTTTACTTTTGAGTCGGCTCAAAAGAGGTGACTTTTTTACTTCTGAGTCGACTCAAAAGAGGTGACTTTTTTACTTCTGAGTCGACTCAAAAGAGGTGACTTTTTTACTTCTGAGTCGACTCAAAACAGGTGACTTTTTTACTTCTGAGTCGACTCAAAAGAGGTGACTTTTTTACTTTTGAGTCGACTCAAAAGAGGTGACTTTATTACTTTTGAGTCGGCTCAAAAGAGGTGACTTTTTTACTTTTGAGTCGACTCAAAAGAGGTGACTTTATTACTTTTGAGTCGGCTCAAAAGAGGTGACTTTTTTACTTCTGAGTCGACTCAAAAGAGGTGACTTTTTTACTTCTGAGTCGACTCAAAAGAGGTGACTTTTTTACTTCTGAGTCGACTCAAAACAGGTGACTTTTTTACTTCTGAGTTGACTCAAAAGAGGTGACTTTTTTACTTTTGAGTCGACTCAAAAGAGGTGACTTTTTTACTTTTGAGTCGACTCAAAAGAGGTGACTTTTTTACTTTTGAGTCGACTCAAAAGAGGTGACTTTATTACTTTTGAGTCGACTCAAAAGAGGTGACTTTTAACTTTTGAGTCACTCAAAAGAGGTGACTTTTTAACTTTTGAGTCGACTCAAAAGAGGTGACTTTTTTACTTTTGAGTCGACTCAAAAGAGGTGACTTTTTTACTTTTGAGTCGACTCAAAAGAGGTGACTTTTTTACTTTTGAGTCGACTCAAAAGAGGTGACTTTTTTACTTTTGAGTCGACTCAAAAGAGGTGACTTTTTTACTTTTGAGTCGACTCAAAAGAGGTGACTTTTTTACTTTTGAGTCGACTCAAAAGAGGTGACTTTTTTTACTTTTGAGTCGACTCAAAAGAGGTGACTTTTTTACTTTTGAGTCGGCTCAAAAGAGGTGACTTTTTTACTTTTGAGTCGGCTCAAAAGAGGTGACTTTTTTACTTTTGAGTCGGCTCAAAAGAGGTGACTGTTTTACTTTTGAGTCGGCTCAAAAGAGGTGACTTTTTTACTTTTGAGTCGACTCAAAAGAGGTGACTTTTTTACTTTTGAGTCGACTCAAAAGAGGTGACTTTTTTACTTTTGAGGCGACTCAAAAGAGGTGACTTTTTTACTTTTGAGTCGACTCAAAAGAGGTGACTTTTTTACTTTTGAGTCGACTCAAAAGAGGTGACTTTTTTACTTTTGAGTCGACTCAAAAGAGGTGACTTTTTAACTTTTGAGTCGACTCAAAAGAGGTGACTTTTTTTACTTTTGAGTCGACTCAAAAGAGGTGACTTTTTTACTTTTGAGTCGACTCAAAAGAGGTGACTTTTTTACTTTTGAGTCGACTCAAAAGAGGTGACTGTTTTACTTTTGAGTCGGCTCAAAAGAGGTGACTTTTTTACTTTTGAGTCGACTCAAAAGAGGTGACTTTTTAACTTTTGAGTCGACTCAAAAGAGGTGACTTTTTTACTTTTGAGTCGACTCAAAAGAGGTGACTTTTTTACTTTTGAGTCGACTCAAAAGAGGTGACTTTTTTACTTTTGAGTCGACTCAAAAGAGGTGACTGTTTTACTTTTGAGTCGGCTCAAAAGAGGTGACTTTTTTACTTTTGAGTCGACTCAAAAGAGGTGACTTTATTACTTTTGAGTCGACTCAAAAGAGGTGACTTTTAACTTTTGAGTCACTCAAAAGAGGTGACTTTTTAACTTTTGAGTCGACTCAAAAGAGGTGACTTTTTTACTTTTGAGTCGACTCAAAAGAGGTGACTTTTTTACTTCTGAGTCGACTCAAAAGAGGTGACTTTTTTACTTCTGAGTCGACTCAAAACAGGTGACTTTTTTACTTCTGAGTTGACTCAAAAGAGGTGACTTTTTTACTTTTGAGTCGACTCAAAAGAGGTGACTTTTTTACTTTTGAGTCGACTCAAAAGAGGTGACTTTTTTACTTTTGAGTCGACTCAAAAGAGGTGACTTTATTACTTTTGAGTCGACTCAAAAGAGGTGACTTTTAACTTTTGAGTCACTCAAAAGAGGTGACTTTTTAACTTTTGAGTCGACTCAAAAGAGGTGACTTTTTTACTTTTGAGTCGACTCAAAAGAGGTGACTTTTTTACTTTTGAGTCGACTCAAAAGAGGTGACTTTTTTACTTTTGAGTCGACTCAAAAGAGGTGACTTTTTTACTTTTGAGTCGACTCAAAAGAGGTGACTTTTTTACTTTTGAGTCGACTCAAAAGAGGTGACTTTTTTACTTTTGAGTCGACTCAAAAGAGGTGACTTTTTTTACTTTTGAGTCGACTCAAAAGAGGTGACTTTTTTACTTTTGAGTCGGCTCAAAAGAGGTGACTTTTTTACTTTTGAGTCGGCTCAAAAGAGGTGACTTTTTTACTTTTGAGTCGGCTCAAAAGAGGTGACTGTTTTACTTTTGAGTCGGCTCAAAAGAGGTGACTTTTTTACTTTTGAGTCGACTCAAAAGAGGTGACTTTTTTACTTTTGAGTCGACTCAAAAGAGGTGACTTTTTTACTTTTGAGTCGACTCAAAAGAGGTGACTTTTTTACTTTTGAGTCGACTCAAAAGAGGTGACTTTTTTACTTTTGAGTCGACTCAAAAGAGGTGACTTTTTTACTTTTGAGTCGACTCAAAAGAGGTGATTTTAAACTTTTGAGTCGACTCAAAAGAGGTGACTTTTTTTACTTTTGAGTCGACTCAAAAGAGGTGACTTTTTTACTTTTGAGTCGACTCAAAAGAGGTGACTTTTTTACTTTTGAGTCGACTCAAAAGAGGTGACTGTTTTACTTTTGAGTCGGCTCAAAAGAGGTGACTTTTTTACTTTTGAGTCGACTCAAAAGAGGTGACTTTTTAACTTTTGAGTCGACTCAAAAGAGGTGACTTTTTTACTTTTGAGTCGACTCAAAAGAGGTGACTTTTTTACTTTTGAGTCGACTCAAAAGAGGTGACTTTTTTACTTTTGAGTCGACTCAAAAGAGGTGACTGTTTTACTTTTGAGTCGGCTCAAAAGAGGTGACTTTTTTACTTTTGAGTCGACTCAAAAGAGGTGACTTTTTAACTTTTGAGTCGACTCAAAAGAGGTGACTTTTTTACTTTTGAGTCGACTCAAAAGAGGTGACTTTTTTACTTTTGAGTCGACTCAAAAGAGGTGACTTTTTTACTTTTGAGTCGACTCAAAAGAGGTGACTTTTTTACTTTTGAGTTGACTCACAAGTCACCTCGATAGCGAGCAACTGAGAATTGGAGCAACACAGAGAACGTGCAGACTAGAGAGATGGAAGGAGGGAGGGAGTGGGCATGAGTGTGTGTCCACGGTCCACCTAGCTGGCGATTGTGAAGGAACAAACACAGAATACGTGAAGACTAGAGCAAGTTTGCCTGGCCTTACCCCTGTTGCTGTCCTTGTCCTTTTTCTTCTTCTTGTGTGCCTGTGATGCAATACCAACAAATCAAAGAGAGGGAAAAGTGGTTTCAGGGAGGGGAGGGAGTGAGGGATATGGTACTATGGACAACAAGAGGAACAGTGAAGACATAAAAGAACAAAAGGACACATTCGAGAGAGAGAGGAGAGGGACTGCGAGAGTGCTAACACAAGCAAACAAAACCACATCCAACATACATACAAAGAACATACATACCCCTACAGGTACGCAGGTACAAGATGACGTGGGTGACTCTATCCAGCACTGGGGCGTCCTGTGATGTTTTAGTCGACTCAAAAGACACAGACGCCAGGTCCTGTAATGGTGCACCGCTTGTACGAAAAAAAGCCATCATACCTTGGCTGCTTGGCGCTTGATCCCAACCGCCGCAGGTGACTTGTAATGAGATGACGTGGGTGACTCTATCCAGCACTGGGGCGTCCAATATTTTTTTTTATCGACTCAAAAGACGCGGATGCCAGGTCGTGTGAAGCTGCACCTCTTGTATGCAAACAACGATTTCATACCTTGGCGTTTGATCCCAACCGCAGATATGAGATGACGTGGGTTACTCTATCCAACACTGGGGCGTCCTGTGCCGCGGATATGAGATCCTGTGTAGTGGAGTGGGTGGGAAGGGATGGGAAAAGGCGTGCGGGAGAGGAAACTGGGATGATGCCTCACACACAACACTCTATCTATCCAACACTCCAAAACTCATCGTCCATGCCAAAGACAAACAGAGCAGTGCCTCTGCATACATCCCATCCCATGCTCCTTCACCTGGCAAGAGAATTCTCAAAAGTCAAAGACAACCAGAGCAATGCATCTGCATACATCCCATGCTGGCAGGCAGGGAGCGACTCTACACATCCGAGAAACTCACAAGTACCTGGGGAGCGGGGCAGAAGGCCTTGCTGCGGTGCACGGTGGTGGGGTTTCACTCCGAAACTCGTCATCCATGTCAAAGACAGAGAACAGAACAGTAACAGCGAGTCTACATGCATCTGAATGCATGTGCGTGCATCCAAAACCAAGGGTACGCCACCGATCGTACCTGAGGAGCAGGGCAGTCGGCCTTGCTGCGGTGCACGGTGGTGGGGATTTCATTCCGGAACTCGTCATCCATGTCAAAGACAAACGACGTGCGGCCCGGCAGGAAGAACTCGTTCGGCTTGGGCGGCACCGGGCGGACTATCTGCTCGAATACCGACTGTGGGGGAGAGGAGGAGGAATGGGATGGAATCACTTTAGGGACTTGGGATTTTCAGGAATGCTCAAAAGTGGCTTGGGCTTTCTTTTCAAAAAGGCTCGCTGATTCACGAAGGAATTTGCAAAGAGGAGCTCTGCAGAGAAGACGGGTGTAGCGTACGTAACTTACTCGAGCAAGGGCAGAGCGAAACGTGGGCACTTTCTCCTGTGCTTTCCTGCAGATTTAGAGAACAGAGGGGAGAGGCAGAGAAGAATTTCGAGTGAATTGTGGGCACTTTCTCCTGTGCCAGGGAGGCCGGGCCAATTGATTTTTGAGTCGCCTCACAAGTAAAATCAACTCCTGTGCCAGGGAAGGGAGGCCGGGCCAAGGATTAGCGGCAGAGCCAAGGGATTGACGCCAAGGGTTTCATCTCCACTCCAACAAGTAGAATCTTAAAACCCTTGACCATAACCCCTGAACCCTAACCCTAAACTCTGTTGAGCAGCGCATAGTCCAGCCCCTTCACCAGATGCGTGAAGGGGCTGGTCTTGTTTGTATCCAGGTGTCTTTTGAGTCGGCTCAGAACACTTTGTTCAGCAGCGCATAGTCCAGCCCCTTCACCACATACACAACACACCTACATGCACCACACAGTACCACACGCACACAGCTCACACATTATGCCTCACCTGCCCTTGGCCTTCCCAGCAGCCGCCGCCGCGGCAGCGGCAGCACCACTGTCCCCCTCTTCCTCGTCCTCCTCTCCCCCTTCCTCCTTCTCTCCCTCCCCTCCCCTCTCCCTCGGACGCCCTTTCATTTCCGACCGCACTTTGTTGAGCAGAGCATAGTCCAGCCCCTTCACCAGACACCCACCCACCACACACATGCACACACCCCCCACACCACACACACAACACACACAGCACACGCACACGCTCACAATTTATGCCTCTCACCTGCCCTTGGCCTTTCCTGCCGCAGCAACCGCCGCAGCAGCGCCCCCCTCCTCCTCCTCCTCTTCTCCTCCCTCCTCTCCTCCTCCCCCCGCCTCCCCTCCCTTCTCTCCCCCCGGACGCCCTTTCATTTCCGACCGCACTTTGTTGAGCAGAGCATAGTCCAGCCCCTTCACCAGATGCGTGTGCTCCACGTCTCCTCCCAGGAACTTGGACTTCTCAATCGCCAGCTTGTGTGCGTCTGTGGTGCTGCAATGAGGTTCAAGGTTTGGGTCGGGGTTGGGGTTTAGAGGCTGGCATTGTCTGGGTTCAGCTCAGGGACATGTGGGGCGTACACTAGGGTTGAGGAGGAGGACTTTCAAAGGAGTTTCGTTCAGCACTAATGGACCAGGGTTTTGAAGAGTTTTGAAAGTGATGGATCGGGACAATGGGGGAGTTGGGGGTTGACAAGCTGACGCCTCCTCCCGCCTCTCCCTCTCGTGCCCATCTGATGGCACCGCTCTGAGTAGCTCCCTTACCCAGCAACAACTTACATTAAGTCAACGCAACGGCATTGAGCTGCCCCAGGTGGCTGGTGGCTGGCACGGCTGCATCCTTGTAATCCGGATTCACCTCCTCTCGCCTCTCCTTCTCACACCCTTCTGAGCTCTGACGGTGCTACTCCAATATTCTCCCTTAACCAGCTACTCACGTTAAGTCAACACCAGGTGGGGCCACAGCATTCAATTGTCCCAGGTGGCTGGGCACGGCTGCATCCTTGTAATCCGGATTCACCTCCTCCCGCCTCTCCTCGTTCCCACTCATCTGTTGCTACTGCTCAATTACTACCCGGGTAGGTACTCACGTCAGGTCGACGCCAGGGGGAGCAACGGCATTGAGCTGCCCTAAATGACTCAGCACGGCTGCATCCTTGTACACCGGATTCACCTCCTCTCAACACTCCTTCTGCATCCTTGTAGTCCGGATTCACCTTCTCCCGCCTCTCCTTCTCATACGCCTCTCCTTCTCATACGCCTCTCCTTCTCATACGCCTCTCCTTCTCATACGCCTCTCCTTCTCATACGCCTCTCCTTCTCATACGCCTCTCCTTCTCATACGCCTCTCCTTCTCATACGCCTCTCCTTCTCATACGCCTCTCCTTCTCATACGCCTCTCCTTCTCATACGCCTCTCCTTCTCATACGCCTCTCCTTCTCATACGCCTCTCCTTCTCATACGCCTCTCCTTCTCATACGCCTCTCCTTCTCATACACCTCTCCCTGTTGCCCCAAGACTTTCGTAAGGTCAACGCCAGGTGGAGCAACGGCATTGAGTTGCCCCAGGTGGCTGGGCACAGCAGCGTCCTTGTAGTCCGGATTCACCTCCTCGCGCCTCTCCTTCTCGTTCCCACACATCTGCTACTAGCCTACTACTCAGATATTACCCAGGTAGGTACTCACGTCAAGTCCACGCCAGGCGGGGCAACGGCGTTGAGCTGTCCCAGGTGGCTTGGCACGGCTGCATCCTTGTAATCCGGATTCACCTCCTCCCGCCTCTCCTTCGCCCTGTCCCTGTATTGCGGCTCCTCGCCCTCTTTACTGTCACCCCCCGCAGAGGCACCCTCTTCCCTGGGAAAGGGTATGGTGCGGGAAGAGGGAGGCGGAGGGGAAGAGAGGTGGGGGGGATGAGGGTACCGGGGGGGGGAGGTGGGGTTGGTGTGGAAAGAGGGAAGAACGAGATTGAAATTGCTGGAGATGGGTGGAGATAGGTGGAGGTAGGTGGGTGGGCGGAACAAAGCTTGGAACCAATGAAAGCGGCATGGCTAGCTGTTCCCTACCTACCAGCAGGCATGCTCGCCCTTTTCATTGCCAATGGTCTAACTAGCCCGTTATGGTTATTTACCCCCCTTCGGATACTGTAGGGGAACTTACCCTTTCCCTTTGCCATAGTACTTGCGCCTGGCGTCTGAACCAGGAGTGGCACTTGGATCGTTGAACCGCTTGCTGGGGGGGAAGACACGACGGGGAAAGGGAGGGGACAGAGGGGAAGGGGTAGGGAAGAGGAAAGGAGAGGAAAGAAGGGGAAGGTGTGAAGGACGGCCAGGCGCAATGGAGTGATATTTGAGTCAGTTCAAAAACACTTCTTTAAGTGTTCAGAAAGTACTACCAAACGCTCGGTCGTACTTTCTCAAATCTCCCCTAAACTCTAGTCTATCTCAGGGCCTACCTGAGAGGATGCACGAAGATTGTTTTGGGAGGAACGATACTAACTATACATTCCGAACAAGATCCTTACTAGTTGTTCTGCTGTGCGCCTTAATCTCCGTCTGCTGAGACCGCGCCTCGGAATCTCTCAGGCTGCTTAGGAAAACACCCTCATCGTTGACCTAATCAGGCTTCTTACTATTTGTTCTTCTCCTGATTTTTCTTCTCTGGCTGCTGCGACCCGCGTCGCGGAGTCTCTAGCACCATCCTTCGAAAGTCCTTATTCGACAGATTCGCAGATTCCGCCGCCTTTCCCGGCGTGGTTTCCGGAGCACGCTCCTGCTCCTTCTTCCGGCCCGGCCGCGGCGGGGGAGGAAGCGGGTTGGAGAGAGGCATCTCATCGTCGCTATCAGCCATCGTGACAATAACGAGAACCCCGAGACCTGAAACCGACTTATTTCAACAAGGTGAACAAAAACGGAGCAAGGATCTCTCGCTCGGAGATTGAACCAATCCTGCAGACTACCGCGAATTGAGCGAGCAACAACACCTCCGCGATTGGTGGCTGCCAAATATTAGTTGTTCTACTCCTCAGAGGAATAGCAAGCGAAGATACGCGAAAGGCTGCAAATGGTAACGACTGGTAACACTCTTAGTAGTAACGGATGAAGAAACGTGTTATGAATCAACTTGCAGAGTGCGCAGTAAAACGAATATCGAGAATGATTTACTGAATTACTGAATTTCGAAACAATGAAGTAGCGAGGCCTAAATAGGGGAAAACCTAGCTAGGCGGGGGGTTCGGGATGGGATGGCTCGGTGATTGTTGCGATTGGAGCGGAGGCCGACTCGGGAGTGGTTCGGTGCGACGAAATAGGAAGGTCAGGTTCGTCGCGTGATCCTCGGGATGGCCTCGCTAACGAGTGCCTCAGTAAGGATTTGTAAATCCTTACACTCTCCCACCTTCTAAATAAGGCAGCCTTGTACTGAAACAGGCCCCACACTAGCAAGGATTCCGTAGATCTCCTCTTTAGCTGAATCCGACGGCCGAAATGCCTTGGACAATAATTTTGAAAATGTTGGAATGTAAGCCGTTGATGAAGTCCGATTTCGATCTGACGGTCGAAGATGAACTGCCCAAAATGAAGTAGAAGTTGGAATGTGGGCCGTAGATCGAGCAGGTGTAGATCTGACGGTCGAAGACTGACGCGAAAAGAGAGGGAACCTGCTGACGCGAATTCAAACGCGATTGAGCAGGGACCGTTGATCGTGTCGGTGTGATCGCGATCGTCCGTCGTGCTGACGCAACCTGACAAACTCAGAAAGGACCAAGAAAAACGCCAAGGAAAGAACAGTGCAGCGCACTTTCTCCCCCCTTCCAAGAAAGCTGTCCACAGAATCTTCAAAACTGCGCCGAAGTAAAACCCGACAGAACCAGGTGTTAAGTCCCACTGAAAACGAGCGTTGAGCGTAGGGGACAAGGTGAAAACGTGTCGGTGTGGCAAATCGATGACGAAATCAGGTGTGACGTGCCCAAAAATTCTTCAAGGGCCAACCTGGGTAAGTAGACCAGAAACCGTGATGAAAAAATCGCCGTTGCTCGAACTGTCGAAATTTGTCGTGATTCCACCGAGAACTTCGGTGGTACTTTCCGCAGCTGCAGCTGGCAGCACCTGACGTGGTTGAGAATTAATGCAGTTGTCGTGGGCGGGTCGAAGGCGAGTTGTCGGTAGCAGAGTTGGAATGGTTTCTCCGAGAAATTTGTCGTAATGCGCCGAGAGTTTAAGGGCAGGGATGAAATTTTACAGTTGTCGCTCCCCCCCCCGTCACTGTTGTTGCCGCCTTCTTCAGTTCGTCGTAAGTCGTTCGTACCCCTTGAAAACTCCGTGTAGCTCCCGCGGTGTTGCCCTGCGTATATGTCGCGCGCGTTTAACCAAACGCCGAATTCTCCTCCGAAATTGTCGCCGCTTCTCGCCGTAAAACCTGTAAAGTCCCGCGTAAACTTCGAAAATATCGTTTGAACACAGCCCTGAAAATCCGCAGATGCAGGTGCAGTTCTCCTCCGAAAATCTCGGTCGTTCTATTGCCGCCCACCCGGTCACCATCAGTTTCCTTCGGTTACCCGACCCCAGCGTGTAGGGTTCAATCGAGAACCGGGGACTGCCCTGGGTCTTCCGAGACCGAATTTCACGGAACCTAGTGGCATCAACGCCGTTGACCCCGTCGTCGAAACTGCTCCCGCCGATGAAGTTTAACTGAAAACCACACAAAACTCCCACTGGCGCTTTGCAGATGTTTCACCCATCGCTCGTCGCCGGTAGGTAAATCCGAAAACTTCGGCTGCTCCCACGCTCCCTTTTACTGAAGAATTTCCCGCGGTGTACTTTAAACACCAGTGGGTTCTAGGTATCCCCGCCGCTGTGTTTCTTGCCAGGCGACTTAGAAGCGACCCTTCAGGCAAAGTCCCCCAACGGCTCAACCGCACTCCAAGAAGCGAAGAAACACCCTCAGCTTCAACTCATTTGTTTTTTTAGAAATATAACCCCGAAAATCGTGGTTGAGGCAGCAGTCCCGAAGTTATTCTCCGCCGTATAGCCCCGACGTTTCCGCCGTTTTTTCCCTGGTACTCCGATGTTCACCCATCTTCATACCCGTCAGAACCACTTAGCGAATCCCAGGAATCATTGGCAATATACCGCTCGCCGCGCCTCCATGTAACAATATCAAACCCTTTCGGGGGTCTACCGAATAGACTCCGAAATTCGCGGTGGATTGGTGCACGGGCTCAACCTCTCACTCAAGTGATCTGCTGGATCACCCACAACTTTCCCTCCGTCGTCGTTTTTTTCGTATTCACCCCCCGACAATTCCGCTTCCCGCCGTTCACCCACCGTCCGCTTTTGTCGGATGAGGTATCGTCGTTGTTGCCCGCGCGAACACGGCCCCGGTGGAGAGGCAAAAACTATCGGAGTCGGGGGACCTTAGTTAAAACGAAACTATCGCCCAACCGTTTCGCAGCCCGCCGTGCCTATCACGCCACTAAAATTTCACAGCTTCCCGGTCTCAGCTTCGCCGCTGCGCCGTCACCTCGTGTGTAGACGTCCGGGTCAGGAGAAACCTGTAAACTGCACCGATGTTATCCTCGCAGCTCCCCGACTTTTTCACGTGCCGTTCACCCAGCCCGCTTTTGTCGGAGTAGAACAGTGCCGCGAACTCCACTTTTTGGGTTGCGAAGCAACCCTTTACGATCGATTTTGACAGTTTTTCTTTTCATGGTTTTTTAAATAAAACATGAAAATAAAATCCGTCAGCTATAGTACTACCCTTCCCATTGTGCATGTTGAACATTTTTTAATATTTGTAGCTGTCTTTATAGTAGTTTTGTGCATAAATGCTCTACTGTTTGTATTATATCTTTTACTATTTGATGTTGTTGTGATAATTGCATGTAATAAATGTTATGAATACTAATAATGAAATACACGCCACGCATGCTTAAATGGATGTAATGATGAGGCACGATAAATAGATACATTCCTAATATCAATACACGTATGAAAATGCTTTTGTATGCATATGATATGCTGAAATGCAACACACCAGTATACCATAAAAATGCGTGATAGTTAACGACCCAAAAACTAGGCTACCGCATCCCCTGCCTAGCATGGGGGGGAAGTCAATAGCAAAGTCTTTGAATAATCAACTAACACATGAAACAATACAATCTGTTAACTCTAAAAAAGAGGTTCACTCTATCAAATCCAGTTCGAAGTGGCAAACACACGAGTCACTGAGTGCGCCAATGAACCAATTAGAAATGATAGAGATGAACCCCGTTTTTAAAATTGACAGACATGCATTGTTATTGCTATGGATAATTTACACACACATATACACACGCATACGCATACATACACACAAATACACACACATATACAACCACTCACACAAAACCAGACACATTCGCACAAAGATAGTTAATCACGCAAGCATCAGCAATGCAGTCGACGAAACAAAGTATAGAAAAAAAAAACCAAAGCAAAAGAAGTTTTGTCTAGTCAATCCCACCCCCATGTTTAATTAAGATGTCCTCGTGCAATGAAATAACCAAAACGCATCTCAATCGGTTCCACGGATCTTGGACTTCACAGCCGCTGCAAGGAGATACAAAATTCAAACGTAAGTTGAAAACGCATTAATGTCATATAATATTGAGATAGTCTAATTATCTATAAAGTTTAATCAATACACGCACGTCAAACCTCCTCTTCGTAGGAGTTGAAGATGGTTGTGTGCTCGACGTGTCAAAGTTGACGGGAGTCGCACATGACTGCGTGGCGCTCGTAACATCAAGTATGGTCTTGATGACGCGCCCCTCCTCAAGACCAAAGTGAATCTGTCAAGAGAAAGGCAAGGAAAATGAAAGAAGTGAAACAAGAAAGGAGAAAAGAGGACAGAAAGGGAGATTAGAGAAGAAAAGAAAGAAGAAAAGCTGACAGAAGGAAAAGAGGGAACGAGGGAAAGAATGAAACAAAGAAGTCATGTTGAAAGAAATGAAGGTATATAAAAAATGAAAACGAAGTATAACTGGTCACATCTCAAAGATAAGGTTTTGATAGCGTAGATAATAAAGATAAGTGTTGGTACATGACATATTTCCTGTATATGTAATACACTTATCTACCTTGAAGACCCAATCCGCGTACCTTTACGAGCCAGCGACCTTGAAGAGCGGCCAACATGTTTTGGCGCTCATCCAAAGCCAAAGAGAGAAAGGTGGACATCTGAAGATGCGGAACCACCTTGGTCAAAATGCTCGGCTGAATCACCAAGCCATGCGCCTGAGCCGTGTATGACACTGGAAAAATAGGAAGACATAATAGCAAGCTTTATTGCGATAATACAACATGCACAATTGTAACAAAATATATGCATACGGTACTTACCGCTCTCCTGTACGACAAGCGTAACAGTGACGTCGTCGATCTGGGTGATCGACGAGGATCCATGCTCGTCGCATTCGTACTCGCGCGAGAGACATGATCGGAAAACAGGTAGTCGACAGATAGAGTCCCCCGAACCACCCTTGCACACTCTGCGAGAGTTGTGCAAAGGATCCTTGATTTCAGCAACGAGGGACGCTATCTTCTCCTCTTTTGTTGTCATCACGAGTGTGTCCACACTACTCATCCTGAATATGAAAAGCAGGAACAATTTTAACGATCGTCTTACTTATATACTGTTAATATACGCTAGTATGTCCACTTACAGCTGCACGAGGCCGACGTCTTGTGGTTCCTCTGTGACGTGAGGGTCTGTGATCTCCAACGCTCGTCGAGAGTCAAGAATGACAGCGCAAGAAAGCATTGTTGTTGTGAACAATGCGTTCCTTAGATAGACGTTGCTAATGTAAA